AAAAACTTACAAAATCCTTTTGGAGCTGTACACACTTCGAATCCTTCTTCAATTAAACGTAAAGCTGATGGTGGATCCAGTTGGAATAGATTCAACAATGTCACCTTAAAATAAACTGATATTAAGTGTTGGTTTTGATGGCAAAACTGCACGCTTATTTAGAACTGCTACAGACAGCTGTTCAGAAAAGAAATGCTGGCAAAAGAAAGGCTGGCACTGCTATGACCGAAGGCACCCGATGAGATGAACGGGAGAATGTTGACAAGAAGCTCGCTTGCCATCGTTTCAACAAACAGTATAAGGGGAAGCTGTGTCTATGTTTCGTGTGTTTCACAGGTAAAGAATGCTAAAAAACTACTGGAGGTCAACCGAAGCCTTACATGTTCCTTTTCTTCCGTCCATATTGACTTATTCGTTATGTACACAGCTCGTTCAATCCACTTCTCTGGACCTTGTGATGCCACCGCAGACGGTACGTATTCGGATGACATTATCAGATGTGAACAATTAATACGGTGCCCATCCGCAATCACACCAACAACTCTAGAACATGATGGACAGTCCTTCAGAAATACCAGAACCTAAGCATAGGGAATTGCACCGACTCACTTGCCATCCTTTTGGATCAATGCTTCCACAGGTCTTCCTAAGCAATACAGGCCTCCAAATACTGCGCATAGGCGGCAGAAACATTGGGGAATTTCACCGCTGCCATACAACGATGTCAGGAATGGCGACGGTCCAAACCGCCCAACCGAATCAACAAAGCGACACACTGCTACCAGACCCTTAATAAGATTTTTACTGTTATGAATTACTACAATCGATATCAATAATATTGACAATAATTCGCGGATTCAGGAAACAGAAACGAAAATTACCAGGGAGCGGATTACAAAAGGTAGCATGCACATCATGCAGTTGAGAACCACAATGGCTTCTACTAAGTAGCGGAGCCACTTACATCTTTGGTAGTCGCGTTAGGATGGAGAATCCCGATAGCGTCTGCAATATAGCTACGAAGTTCTCCAGTGATTTCTTGAGACTCGAGGAACGTCTCAAACGGCTCGTCTTGGTATTCTGAAGAAGGCTAGCAAACTATGGAAAAATAATGCAACTGGCAATGACCATACCTTTCCATCCTTCCAATTCGTCGGCTTTCGTATTCCATTCAAGGCAGAAGGTCATGAATTTCATCAACTTACGCTTATCAACCATGCTAAAGCATAACACCGAAGCAATTATGATACACACCGTTTATTCCACAACTCGATTTAATCAACAAATTCAAAAATGCCTGGCTCAAAGTATTGCGAAACCCAGGTTGCCTGGAAGATCGAAATCTGTAAAAACTCAAGTGCCAACTAACCTTAAGGTCTCATCTTGGAATATGTCACCCTTGCTACATGGCACACGGCTATAAGTAAGTTTTTCTTCTTTTTCATCACGAAGACACAGGAACCGATCGACGCATTTGAACTCAGCGTATTTGGCCACTTCAGAGTCACACAATGTCTGTACCATTGAACCGCGAGCTAGAAGCACCTAAAGTCACAACCGTTAATACACTTGACCAAATCCACTTTCACAATTTGACCTTCATACTAGAAGGTAGAAGGACATACTAGCGATGGCAAATTCTGCCTACTACAAAGATTTGACATCACACGATACCGATGAAAGGGGTACTGACGGTAGGTACTGTACTGCCATCTCATTAACATTCTATGAAATGTAGAAGAAGTACATGCATGGCAGGTCAGATGGGGTGTTTTGGGTCTCAGTAAATGTAGTATTCTCACATTATAGGGAACCATAACGTAAAAGGAATTTCTCAATGGGTAGCAATTTCTAACTTTCTCGCCTCCAAGTATGATCGAAATCTTGGGATAAATGGTGTCGAGATATACGCTGAAACTACTGCTAGAGGCTATTAAAAATGACTCCTTCATTGAACTCACCTTTGGCACTAGATCAATACTGAAGCGTCTCCACTCAGACTCCACCACTTCACGCACCTTCTTCTCCTCAGCATTGTCACCCTTATCCACCGTCATCATTGACTCACTAAGTTTCACCAATAAAGTTAATTCACCTAAAAATATAAGCCGCCTTAGCTCATCTAAAAGATAGCCACCTGCCAGGCATCCATTCTTGGTGTACATTGCGTACAGTCTTTCGTGTACCCAAAGGCATTAGAGATTCGCCATCGCTAAGTTTCTCAGCATACTTCGAAATGTCCGCTTCAGCTTCTGCCGGCTTCTAAAAACAGTTTAAGTTAACCAAAGCGAGTATAGACCGTACTTCAAATCAATGTACACTTAAAATTTACAACACAAACTAGCGATAGTGTTTTCAAAACAAAATGCCTTCCCCAAGATCTAATCGCTCTGATTTGTCTTCGTAGAGAACTTAAAGGCACCGTTTACGATAAATTTAGAGTACCCTTTTTTGATGGGAATTCATAGAACTACTCTAGAATGAAGCGATAACAACGAAAAAAGCGCAAAAAACGATGAACAAAAAAAA